GACCTACCTTCTGTGATTCATGCACAAGGACACCCAGGTCCCTCTGCATAGCAGCATGCTGCAACTTTTTACCATTCAAGTAATAATCCTTTTTACTATTACTCCTACCAAAATGTATGACTTCACATTTATTTACATTGTATTCCATCTGCCAGACCTTTGCCCACTCACTCAATGTATCTATGTTCCTCTGCAAAGTTTCACAGTCCTCTGCACACTTTGCTTTGCCACTCATCTTAGTGTCATCTGCAAACTTTGACACCCTACATGTGGTCCCCAACTCCAAATCATCTATATAAATTGTAAATAATTGCGGTCCCAAAACCGATCCCTGAGGCACACCACTAGTCACTGACTGCCAGCTAGAATAGCACTCATTTATCCCCACTCTTTGCTTCCTGTTAGTCAACCAATCCTCTATCCATGCTAATATTTTACCCTTAACGCCATGCATCCTTATCTTATGCTAAGCTAAGATCCTAATAGACAATATTATTTGAAAATTTGTTTGTTTTCCACATTTCTGAAGTCCACAACAGTTTGAGTGTCAGATATCATGCAGAATAACCAGCTTGCAGTCAGCATGAATGGTACTTTAATAACATCACTTTATTTCAAATTAACATTGCAGTTGTAGTACTTTTTAATATTGTACAACTCTTAACATATATCATTGAGAGTTTGCAGTAATTACTAAGTTTTGTGTTTTTATGCTGCCTTCCTCTAGGCTTAATTGTGCAGTAGTATTTGCTGTTAAGTTTACAATAACATCTGTGCTTTTTTTTGCAGTGTTTAGGAATCTTCAATTAGATAGAGTTCTTTAGTTTTGTTGTGAATTTCTCAGATGTCTCTGAATATATATTGCTTTGTTATAGTATTTTGCTGTTCAATGAGATAAAGTATGTGTACTCATTGATGGATCTTCATGACATTGAAAATGATATGAAAGGACGTGGTGATGTCATCTTTACATTTGTACGAGCAATCGGCGTTCCAGGTATTGTTAAAACAAGTTAACTTAAAGTTTAGTGTATTGATTTGTAATCTGCCAGAAAGCACAGAAATCCTGAGAAGAATGATTAATTCTGAGGAATTAATTAATAAATATTAATTATTTTTGTGTTCTTTTTTATAATATTATTCTATACAAAATCCAGTTTCAGCCAGTGCTGGTGAAACTGTTCCACGTCACTTCTCATTAATTGTTTCCCACCCTCTCCTAGCACAGAGATTATCTTAGGCAGGTTCATTTATGGCATCCTTCATAACAGTGCTTTCCTCAACGGCTCCCTAATGTTTAGTTTGGTCAATCTCCTCTCCACCCCTCTGTGGGCAAACTCTCTGGAAATGCCATACTTCAGTGGAGTCAGAATAACACAAACAATGGATTCTTCATCTACGTCTCTGTCACTCTATAGTACTTTAATCTATCCTTGATCTCTTTGTCCTGTTATGTTCCCAGATGATGGATGACCTGGCCATATCACATACCAGAGTGAAACCTGGCTTAACATATCATTTAACTTGTGCGCATGATTAATGTGGTCACAGAACATATTTACGCAAGAGTGTCAATATTCTTTAACAAAAAATATTTATTGCACAAAAGAGACAAAAAAATACAGAAAGGTCTTAACACCATCAGCAAGAAGAGTGTTTGAACTCATTTCCTAGCAATACCCTTTCAGATAATCAATACTAGTAAAGTATCACTTTGATTTTAACTCTTTAATTTCTTATCCAACTTTCCAGTTTTGATGATCCTTTCCAGATCCAGTTACCTAAACCTCTTCTGTTCTGATAGCTTGAAAATGTCTACACAAACTCTCACAGCTTGAAGATTTAGTAAACTCTCACAACCTTGAGATTCCACAAACTGAAATAAAGGGTCTTCTTAAGAGGATGAAACTGGTGAACATAGCGATGCCTGCCTGACATGATTGCCTATTATATCACTTGAAAGTGTGCTAATGGAATGGTAACACTGACTTGTATCCATTAACAGTCAAGCTGCTAGGTGGATGCTGTTTTTATTCCCAGCCATTTCTTTTTGTTCGTAACTGAAATTTCACCCACAAGTAATTTTTTGAAGATGATGTGAAATTTATGTATTTTATAATAAGGTGATTATGTTTATCTTTTTAACATTGTGTTTTGTGCCGTAATGCATTGCTTAAAAATTGTAGTTGAATTTTCACAAAAGCCTGGCCTTGGAATTGAAATTTTTACTCCACCGTTATGTTTTTTAGCTGGAGTAGTATGCATTATTTGACAAGATACATCAGTAGCATTGAGCTAGGCAAATAATAGAATGCTTCTTAGTCTCTAAAAATCCATTTGTTGTTTCCAGAATATTTATTACTGTGCACATCTGTACGCTTAATGTATTATTTATGATTTGTTTCAGAACACAGAGCCATTATGGAAACTGCTTTTGTTTATGGTACCAAGTATCAGTTTGTATTGACCACGGAGCAAAGTGTTTTGGAAGGCATGGAGTAAGTATGGACCTAAAATTGGAAAAACAATGATAATAAACTTAACGTGCAGCAAAGTTTTAAATTACGTTGGCCCCAGATTTTGCATTCAGCAGCAGATGAACACCATTCATTACCATTACACTAACCACAGATTTTCTATGGGCTTTCACACTGAAACTTGCAGTGATTAGATATCCATTTCAATCTGGCACAAGCCCTCTGGAATCTCTCTAACCAATCAGATCAAAGAATTTTTAATTAAATATGCAGGGTATAAAGTGCCAGTAAGTGTCTTTAATTGAAAACTTGAATTCAGAACCATTTGTTTACAGAAACCAACATAAAGAGAGGGAAAGAAAGATAGGATTAAAGAATAAGATAAAAATGTTTAAAGTTTGAACAATTACTGAAACCTCCAAACTACCTAAAATCTGTCAGTGATTATCCATACATGTAAATTTGGGTGCCAAAAAGTAATTAAAACTTATTACTCCATTCAAAAGTAGTACTTTGACAAGTAGTTTACATGTAGGTACTGCAACTGCCTGCCCTTCTGAGGAAGGGTCACCAGACCCGAAATGTTATCTCTGATTTATTCTTCACCGATGCTGCCAGACCTGCTGAGCTTCTCCAGCAACTTCTGTTTTTGTGCATGCCCTTCCTTGTATTTGCGATGCCAATACTGGGGGAGTAGGGCAGTTTGGATTTGGACAGCTTAATTTTTGCATTTAATAGAGCCTGAGTGATTGCTAGAAATTGTTGTCTAAATTACACTTTTTTTTTTAAATGGTGAGCACTAACCACCCGACTGATACATTTATCATAATGTTTAGATGAATGTGGAGTGTATGTGTTTAAATATTGAGTAAGTTAATAATGTATCATTGCCAGTAAAGGAAGAAACACCTGAGAAAAACTAGACAGATTTTGGGGAGGCAACTAATTTGTGATATCTTCCACTGACAAGGACAAAAGCAGCAACATAATAGAGAATTTTATCATTTTCAATTTCCCCTCCAAATCCCCCACAATGAATTGGATGTATATTGTTGTTCTTTCATTGTTATTGGGTCAATGTCCTGGGATTTCTTACTTTGCACCACTGGACTACAACTACAGGAAAAGGACACAACTGCCTTCTTGGAATTACTGGGGATTAGCATTTTTTAAACTTCACCCGTATCAATGAATTTTCAGGCAAGAAAAACCCATAGCAAATAAGGTATTTGTAACTGAAACAAATTACAAATCCATTACATAAAGTACCACATCTGTTCAGAGTGTTCTGCTTTAGAATCAAAACAATACTTTTTTGAAAAGGGAGAAAAGGAAACTTGTATGAACTTTGGAGGCTCAGTTGATTACAAATTGTAAGCAGGATGGCCCAATTTGCAGTATTGAGATATTGCACTTAAAAGACATAGCATGACAGAATCCCTACAGTGTGGAATTGGGCGACTCAACCCATTGAGTCTACACTGACCCTCCGATCAGCAACCCACCCAGATCCACCCACCTACCTACACTATCCCTGAAACATTGCATTTCCTTGTTCTGAGGAAGGGTCACCGGACCCGAAACATTAACTCTGTTTTTCCTTCACAGATGCTGCCAGACCTGCTGAGCTTTTCCAGAAACTTTGTTTTTGTTCCTGATTTACAGCATCCGCAGTTCTTTCAGGTTTTACTTATGCATTTTCCATTGCTGATTCGCCTAGCTTGTGCGTCCCTGGACACTTTGGGCAATTTAGCATGGCGAATCCACCTAACCTGCACATTTTTGGACTATGGGAGGAGACTGGAGCACTAACAAGAAGCACACACAAACATGGGGAGAACGTGCAAACTCCACACGGTCGCCTGAGCATGGGCATCGGGGTCCCTGGTACTGTGAGGCAGCAGTCCTAACCACTCAGCCACCGTGCTGCCCTAGAGTGTACTCTTATCATGTTTCAGTTTTCACAACATGAAGTGGTGCAATAGTGATAATGCCTCTGGATTAAGTTTGTGATTAAGTTTGAATTCAATTGATTAATCTGAATTTATAACCTGCCATTTATGATAAGTGAGAAATGTGGGCATTTGCTGATAGCTGCACAATATTCAGCACCATTCACAACTCCTCTGACACTGAAGCATTTGTAGCAATAGTCCGTATGTAGCAGTAACTGGGCTGATCAGTGGCAAGCAAATCTTGCACCACATAAGTACCAGATGATGACTGTCTCCCCTTGCTGTCCCATGGCAACTGTGAATCCTCCTCTATCAAATTATTGACCCCGAACTGAACTGAACCAGCCATATAGATACTGAGCTACAGGATCAGGTCAGAAGGTAGGAATTCTGCGGTGAGTAATTCATATCCTGACTCCTTATTGCTTGTCCACCATCTACAAGGAATAAGTTAGGAGTGCATTGGAATACTGTCCACTTGTCCTGATGGGTACAACTGCAAAAGCTGTCAAGAAGCTTGACACCATCCAAGATAAAGCAGCCTGCTTGATTGGCATTACATCCACTACATTTCACATTCAACACTTCAACACTGGTGCACTGTGCAGCATCTACAAGATGCACTGAAACAACTCACCAAGCCTTCTTTGACAATGTCATCCAAACAAGCAATCTCTATGATCTAGAAAGACAAGAGCAGCAGACACATGGGAACGGCATTACCTGCAGGTTCCCCTCCGAGCCACATACCATCCAGATGTGGATCTGTATCGCTGTTCCTTCACTGTCATGAGGTCAAAGTCCTAGCATCTCCTCCCTAACAGCACTGCAGCATACCTACATTCCAAGGACTGTAGCAGTTTAAGAAGGGAGCTTATCACCATGTTTGCAAGGCAATTAGGGATAAACGATAAATACGGTCCGAGCTAGCAATGTCCATGTCACATGAGCAAATTATAAAAAAAAAAACCCTTGTGTTCTAACTTACTTTGCATGAAGCTGGAGATGGTCAGATAGAATTTGAACTTTGGGAATGAAGAAAAATGAACTTCTTTGTGAATTTGATGAATGTTGTAAAAAGTTGGCAAGATATTGTTACAAATATATTTGGTTCCAGTAACGAATATTTTTAAGTTCAGTTTTTTTAACCTTCTGATTCATCTTGAGATACAGAATGCTTTAGTAAATTGTGCAGTTTTACATCAAATTATCAACAATTATCCAGCTTAGACAACAACATTGGAAGTTACTCCAGGTGTCAAAACTAACCATGAGCAATGTCAGAGATGATCTAACTTTAGAAAAGTGGTGCTACGATAAATTTAGACTGATGATCCTGACATAATGCCAGGATCTGCCGACCAGATCCTATCTGAGTATATTCAGTCTTGGGGAGGTTGTGTATTATAATGGAGTTTCCACAAAACTAAATGGATCAGGGATATGAGGGCAGCTCCTGTTGCAGAACGCTCCCACATAAAAAATGTCCTGACATTTCTTGGCTCGGCAGTTTTTTGCTCGGAGCTTATTAGTCAAATGTTAATTAGTCAAATATTCACTTAGTTAATCAAATCTTCCAAATGGCGGTGGAGTAGCAGGGCTGCGCTGGGCTTTTGAGCCTAGGACTCATCGCTCTAGCCTGCTTTCTTTTTTTTTTCTTTTTTTGTTTTGTTTTTCTGTTTTTTTCCATTTTTGGTTTGCTTTTCTTTTCTTTAAAGCCTTTTGCGGCAGGTGCTGCGAGAGTGGGCTGTGTGCGGTGTAGTGGCAGCCTCCTAGTGGTGAGAGGCAGCTGACGCGGCTTCTTCCAGCGATTGGAGGTAACGGTGGTGGCAGTGGCAGCAAGGCCGTCCTCCCAGCATTCAAGGCCGGAAGCAAAGCTCCTCCTGCGATCAGAGGAAGCGGACAGTCTAAGATGGCGGCGCCGGCAAGACGATATCTTGGAGGAAGGTGGCAGGAGCGGGACTCTTGGCAGCGCGGTGGCCTGGCCTGGCAGCCAGGCACTCCTGGTTGCAATAGGCCCAGAGTGGCGACACTTGGCATCATTGAGGCAACAGCGGAGCCAGAGACTCCTGGTTGCAGTCATGGCAAGCCCAGAGCAGAGACTCCTGGTTGTCGGCGAGGTGGCAATGGCAGGGAAGCTGGGGACTCCTGGTTGCAGGGCATGTGTGGGTTCAGTTCCAAATTCTGCATCAGCGGCATTGGCAAGGTGGGCCTGGCAGCAAAGAGATGGTGCCTAAAGAGTGGTGACTCCTATGTTGGTGGGTCTGGTGCCGCGAGTGGCGAGGTGGTAGAAGAGGGATGGCAGCGCGAGTGTCGTTGGTGAGCCGGCTCATGGTGGAGGCAGCAGAACGAAGATGGACACTCTTTCAATTATATCTTTTTATTGTTAAACTATTCAAAATGGTGCCAGATTGTGGTGGCAGTTGAAGCTTTTCGCTGTATTTGACTGTATTATTCACTGTAAAATGCAAATGACAATAAAAAATTCAATTCAATTTACGGGCTACCTGTCACTCTATAGTTGACTGATGTAAGAAGTACCATAGAAGGCTACAGTTTATTTTTGTATTAATATTGTCCTTTAGATGAACTGTGCATTGTAAGAGCACTGTATTTCTGCTAAAACATTTTTGTGCCTCCTTAATTACAATGTTTTGATTTTCTTTTAAATGTTACCACATAGCCTGGAAGATCCAGATAAATATTCAGCCAGACTTTGGTTCTGCCATTGCAAGATGGTCGCAGATAAGAATCAGCCATGCAAGAGGACCTATCTTAAACAACCACTAACTACTGTGAATATACATTCCTCCCTTAAAATATTGGAGGCCCCGCTAGTGGTGAGAAAAATATTTATTAAATTTTCATGTATTTTTAAACCAATATCTATGTTTTTTTCTGTTTAACTAATTTTATAAAAGTTGTTTACCCTCACGGAAAACACTGACAAACTGGATCCTGCCAAGTGTTATGTAGATTTTATCATAACCTAAGCGAGAAATATGTAGACTTTTAAAAGGAAATATAGAGTATGATTTTTACATTTTTGTTAATGTGGAAGGATGGCCGTGTTAGATGTTCACTAATACATCGCTGACCCATTGTTGAGAGAACATTCTCAATGTTGCCCCAATATATTGGTTGACAGGCAGAGATTCAGCGAGCTTTTTGTTCTGTCACATGCCTCGTCATTGGCATCCTGTGTCATCAGAAATTGTTGGCTAATCAGAGACTGGCAACATCTGGGCACTAAAGCCTGCTGGTCAAGATCTGCTGCTCAGGGGATTGCAATAAAGTACTTTGTTTTCACACTTCTTCTTCTCATGGGGTGAAGGTCAATGAATGCAGGGGAGGCAGAGGCAGGGCATGGCAGTCGCTTTCAGAGGTAATCCCTTTTCCCACATACATGCTTCCAATTCCCCCAGATTTGGGTAATCACAGGGCCTCCCCATACCCAGCAGGTCAGTTACCCACTTGGGAAACTAGCCACCTTTCTGTCTTGCTTGGAATGCAGGTAGTTGGGGAGCAGGCATGTTGAGGCCTTTGTGCTCATTAATTGACCATTTAGGATTTTTTTTGTGGTGATGTTTTGAGAAGATCACTCTAGACATTCGTGCGCAGAATTTAATTGCTGAGGTGGCAAAGAGGGGATGAATGTCTCGGCAGGGCCAACTCATCCAATAATTTGCCCTAACTGCCACCTTCAGAAAGGACAGAATTCTACCCATAGAGCTTAAAAAGTATTAATGCACAATAAGTATATTAAAAGTCTGTGAGAATAGTGCTGCATTAACATTCCCATTTTTCCACATTTTCAGGCGGAGGTTAATCTTCCACCAGAGGAAGTGTCTACAATTCATGTACAGTTAAAACTGCCCGTTGTGTTTCTTTTTACACAAAGAGAAACCTATGAACATGACAGAGTAACTGCTGAATCAGTAGCATGGCAACTACTGGGAAGAGCAGGAGTTGTAATAGTGTCAAGGTAATGTTCAGAATAACCTTAGTTTTGTCAGAAAAAGTAATTTTGCAAAAGAATGGCAAAGAAGCTAAGATCTTTCTCAAACATTGAGATTCTCTGTCTGTATCCTGAAGCTTAATTTTAAATTGGATTTAGGTGAGTGCCCCTTCATTAAAATTGAGATATTTTATTCATTGTTGCACAATCTTTTCATATCCAAACCATTACATTTTTCTCAGTCGGAGAATAGACATCTGTACAGCTTTAAGATGCTATTGAACATGACAGTTTTGTCCTTTCTCTTGTGTATGACCTGCCTGAAGATTTTTAAAATTTTAAAACTTGCTCCAGGATCTAATAGTACAAATGAAGGCACGATGTTTTAAAATTACAACTAAATCAGCAGAATGACAATTATTATAAATGTTTTATCAGCCAGTTATTCATTATCTCTGCTATAAATTTGATTTATAGTGCTTTTATCGTGATTGTTTAAAATTATTCTTTTGTAAGTGATTACATTCAACTTCAACAGGACCCAGCTACATCCCAAGGTACCAGCAGATGTCACTGTAGGCTACAGACCTGCTGGAGGGGTATGTCATTTATTTTGATGATTTGAAACTTCATTGCCTGCACGCTGTGCTGCACAGAATTCTCCTCATCTAATCTCCAGTTCCTTCCTTGCTAATCTCCTCTGGCAAATTCTACCCATGCAACCTCACCTGTATTTCCATAGCAATGATTTCTGTCCAAATAAAAACCGAAAGAGCTGCGGATGCTGAAAATCAGGATCAAAAACAAAGTTGCTGGAAAAGCACAGCAGGCCTGGCAGCATCTGTGAAGGAAAAAACAGAGTTAACGTTTCGGGTCCGGTGACCCTTCCTCAGAAATGATTTCTGTCCCTCTGGCCTTACCACTTGCAGCTTCTGCAACATCACCCTGCCTGTGATACTGGCCTTGTGCACGTTCTGACCCTCCATGAACAATCAATCAACAGTGTAGCTTTCAGCCAATGGCCTCTTATTCTTTGGTACTCATTCTTGGAATCTACTCAGCTTGTTTCTTCCTTCGTCAATTTTAAAAGCCATTTTTCAATTGTGAGTTTGATCAGTTTTAGCTAACGTATTGCTGTTTGACTTGCAATCTTATTTGATGTGCCTTTGGAGACTTACTTACATCAGAAATATTATGGAAGTTTAGTTATTAAATTTACTTTGTGTGCTTGAACACATTTCACCTTTTTATATGGACTTTCATATAGGATTAGTTATAGTTAAGAAACCGTTAGTTACGTTTGAAGCTCATACAGTTGAAGGCAAGCTGTTGACCCGCTTAGAAAATTGGCTGAATGGAATCAGACAGAGAGTAAGACCAATGGATAAATTCTCTAGTTAGCAGGATATGACTGGTGATGTCCCACAGAAATTTTTTTTTAAAAACTCACCATGTATATTAATGATAGCAAGCAAGCTACATACCCAAACATGCTGATGACACAAATGGTACTGCCTTTTTAAGTAGTAAAGATGGAAGCATAACATTTTCTGAGGCCTCTTCTGAAGAAGAGTTAGACCGGACTCGAAACGTTAACTCTGTTTCTCTGTCCACAGATACTGCCAGCCCTGCTGAGTATCTCCAGCATTCTCTGTGCTTGTTTCGATTTTAAAAAAAAGATGTTGGTAGATTAAATGAATGGACAAATCTGTGGCAAATGGATTTCCGTGCAAGCTCATGTGAAATTCATCCACTTTGGACCTTAAAAAAGAGCACAACAAGTACATTCCTAATGGTGAAGAAGGAGAAACAATAGGCAGCCAGCTTAGAGTGTGCATTGTGTGTTCACATGGGCTTAAGCAATGAAGTGAGTTACTCCTGCCATGTTCACTTGGGCTTAGTCCCCAGCCATCTTTTTCTACAATAAGCAAACTTTCAGCAATAGTTGGGTTGTTCATTAGTGTTGGGAATGTCAGGTATTTCTGACTCCACTTAGACGTAGCATGCACCTCTTACAGAGAAACTGTAATCAGCTACAATCACAGAAGTCTAAAATGGTAGGCCATGGCAAGCCCCTCCTGCCAATTGCAGGATCTCACTTTGAAGGTGCTGGTGGAGGAAGTGAGCAAGAGGAGAAATAAAAGGAAGGGATCTAGTTGATCTTCTTTGCACTAGTGGTGAGAGATGACAGGGTAAATCAATGCAAATGCATCACAACCAAGACCAAGCAGGAAAAGTTTAATAAACTGATAAGAGCTACTAAGATAAGACTCCTGCCTCTAACGTTTCTCTCCTTCATCATACACCACTCATTCAAAACTTGCCTCTTTCCCAATCTCTGCAATGTATTGTACCCCACCTCCTGCTGCTACTACAACAGTCTGCATCTGCTACTCTCCTCACTTTAACTTAATTTTAGGTCCTCCAACCCATGCCATCTTTCACATACCTCCTCACTACTTAACCTGACATGGACACCTCAAAACATCCTATTAGACCAACACACTCTCACTCCATTATTTCTTGAAGGACAAGTGGCCATTCGTTACAAGAATGCAGATGAAGAGTTTGTCCACTTGTGAGCTGGCCTGACTGGAAGACCAAGCCTTGGACATCATGGGTGGAGGGTACATTAGCATGATGAATGCTGATTCTGGAGAACACATTTGGATCACACTTTCTTTTGCTTCTCAATAAACTGTCGTCCTCACAAACTGAATGACAAGTGCTGCTGCGTTAAGGAATCACTCATCTGTCTCTCTTAATCCTTGCCACTAACTCTTATCCCTCTGTTCCATTCCATGCTCAGAAGCTGAGCAGTCTCTGGGGAGAGAAGATGAAGAACAGGAAAGTGCATTTGAAGACAGTGCATCAAATGCATGAACCTTGGAAGTACCTATTTAGGCTTTGCTTTCCCACTTTTCCTGGAACTAGATAAGGATTGCTAACACTCCTGTAGGGAGAAAAATAGATATTGAGGATCCAATTTACAGACGTAAATGGAAGGCTGTGCAACAAACACCTTCTAAGGTGCATTAGTTCACGTGCTTGCAAGCTTGTGCACAACGTCAAAACATGGGTAGTTTCCCTTTTAGCTTAGATGAGGTTTTGATGCATGTCGCCAAAACCTTGTAGTAAACCATGGGGCAGGTGATCAGGTCTATAAGCATGACAGAGGTTCTGACAGTAATAGAACCACTGGAGACAGTTCTAATAGCTTCAATGGAAGCTTAAATGCTTTCACCTTGACATCAGCATGCAGCATCTCCTCAAGCTTTCAAAATCGGAGATCCTGGGTAGATGGTTGTTGAGCAGCACAGCACTACTGCACTTTTCTACTGTGTGAAATGCAGGCATGCAGCCATATGAATATTTGTATTTCCCTGAGGGAGTGCTTACTGCACAGCCCCAGGATGACTGCATGCCCCCTTCCCACCTGCTTTGCAACCATATTTGTACCAAACTACCCTGGACAGTGCTGGCATTGTTAAAATCTGAACAGGGTCATAAATGGCCAGAGATGTTTTGGGTGACCCACCTCCTTCACCTGAAAGGCCCTCTTTTTCTACTGGAGTTCCTGGCTCCACAGAACTGATCTTTAAAATTGCAGCTTTTGGTCAGGGAATGTGGAGGGCTGTATTGGGAATTGGGGCAGGTGACCCAGTAAGAGCCTCGAGGCTCTAGCACTGTGGTCAAAGCTTAAAAATACAGATTAAACTATAAATACCTGATCACTCCCCCTCATCCCCACACACTCTCACTATGCCTCAGCTGTGAAATACCCAGCATTATTTTCTTTTAACTCCGCATGTTCGTAGTCAAATTTGCCAGTCCCAATGAGTTTATGCATTTTTTTGTATATAAACATGCCTTTCCTGAAAGTTGCCTTACCTCCACCAAAGCATTTCCTTACTTCACCAAAGTGTCCAGAGACCAGATTCATAGATTATATGTTGCCTTTCCAAAAGGGGAAGTACAAAACATTCCACCAGTACTCACCTTTCACAGACCACCCCCCCTTTCATTCCCCCTCACATTCACACACTCCCCATCCACCACCCAGTTTTGTTGGGGTGGGGTGTGGTTCTGAGAACAAACCTTTCCATTAATTTCCTGTCTTAGAGCTTTAGTAGATGGTAGCACTGTTGGACCTACCTTGCTATTTGTAACTTTCACTTACTTGTCACCTGTTGATGTTCCTTCTCTGTTTCTTCCTCATCCAGCAGCCCCAGTCATACAGTATGGAGTCTGCAGCCACCAAGCTTGAGACTTCTTTGGGGTTGTATTAAAGGAGATTAAACCCCAGTGGTCTTTTCTGTCAGAGTTCTGGTTCTTGTATGATTTTCAGCATATCAAAGCCATCTATCTGCCTGGGTCATTGACTAAAATCATGAGCCAAATGGCAAAAGATTAACCCAGGTCCCTGAGCAGACAACTTCTGACCAATTATCCTTATGGAAGTGAGGCGATGTTGAGAAATGGCTTGGGTGAAAAATATCATGACTATCACAGGAAGTAAGAATCCCTACAGTGTGGAAACAGGCCATTTGGCCCACAGTTGGCACACCAACTCTCCAAAGAACATCCAACCCAGTCTCACCCCCCCACACTATATTTCCCATGGCTAATCCACCTAACCATCACATCTTTGGACTGTGGGAGGAAACCGGAGCGCCCGGAGGAAACCCGTGTAGACACGGGGAGAATGTGCAAACTCCACACACAGTCGTTCAAGGTTGGAATTGAACCCGGGTCCCTGGCACTGTGAGGCAGCAATTCTAACCACTGCACCATTGTGTTGCCGACAGAGATTTGCACAATGCTCTGCAAATGCTCGCAGATGAGTGACACAATTGAGGAACAGATTTTTTTTTCTGTTTCAAAGCTTTGCTAATTGATAGGAAGCACAGAGGAGACTTCCTGCACCTGAGGGGATGCAGTAATTCTGACAAATCCAACTTTCTTCTTGTTTGGAAATCTCCATAGAGAATTTGATAAACTCTCGTTGCTTTGCAAAGAATGCTACTGTATTGACAGAAAACTAACATGTTCCTTATGTACCTTTTGGAGTCTGCATTTCCACAAAATCATGAACTGTGAGATGAGTTACCCTGAATTACCCGGGTATTGCTGTACATGCTCTGGTATTATTGTAGTTGTTGCTGCAACAGGTGGCTTGGCTCAGTTCCTGCCTCCCAGGTCCCTGGGAGTGAAGCTGCCCGATGCGCGCTTCTGTCGGGTTCGGGAGAGACAGTCAGCTCTTGTGGCCTCCTTGCCTTCGTTCTCTTCTAGCAGCTTCTCTGGGTTTGTAGTGCCTCCCTTGGTGCTCTCTTTCTCTTCAGATAGCATCTTAAAAGGCAACCTGAGCTACATTTCCATGCTCCGTGATGGTGCCGTAGCTAATCTTCCCAAACTAATGAAATGTGAAACACCAGCCAACATAATGAAGAAGGGGCAAATTACTGCAGATGCTGGAATCTGACCTGAAAACAAAAAAAAATGCTGGTGATCACAGTGGCTCAGGCAGCATCTGTGGAGAGAAAGCAAGCTAATGTTTCGAGTCTAGATGTTAGCTTGCTTTCTGTCCAGGGATGCTGCC